ATTCTATTCTATTCTATTCTATTCTATTCTATTCTATTCTATTCTATAATGACAGTAGCTTTTGCTAGATAGTGGGATGGACTGGATGACCTCTGTCTTCTTTCACTACAAGGATTCTATGAATTCACTTAAAAGCAATTCTTCTCAATCCCGTTTCATGGATTCCTATACTGGTCCAGAATTTGTGCAGAAGATGGTATGAATGTACAACCCAAATCCTCTGCAGAGAATTCTCTTCTGTAAATTCCTTTCACATAGAAATAATCCTGTTTGCCCCAGTATGATGGGCAGGTGAGACACTGACCTCCCTTACAGGAAGGGAGTGAAGACTTACAAAAATGGAATCAAATGCACAGGGTCTAGAAGGGGATTATTCGCTTTTGGGACAACTTGTGGAAGAAAGTAAGGGCTTAAGTACCATGATGGTATGGTTTAAACACTAGAACTTTGGGCTTCCTGCCAGTGATGGGATCGAAAAAAATTTTTTTACTGTCGGTTCTGTGGGCGTGGCTTGGTGGGTGTGGCAGGGGAAGGATACTGCAAAATCCCATTCCTGCCCCACCCCACTAACCTGCTTTCCAGCTCCGTCTTCCTGTGCAGGGCAACAAAAGAAGACCCAGCCGATCAGCTGGGACTCGAGAGGCAGAGAATAGATGGGGGCGGGGCCCGTCAGAGGTGGTATTTGCCGGTTCTCCGAACTACTCAAAATTTCCGCTACTAGTTCACCAGAACTGGTCAGAACCTGCTAAATACCACCTCTGCTTCCTGCCCAGGGCATAGCAGAAGAGAGGACTGGCCCAATCCTGCTTCTGATATTCAAAAGGAGCACGCAACGGTATTTGATTGCGTTGCTCATCATCCTTCATTGTTGACTGTGCTTGGGCTAGATGGGATCTAGGGTCCTGTTGTATCTCCAGATTCTGTCTACTGAGTCTCAAGCCGTCATTTAGCCCAGTGGCCCCCAACCTTTTTTGTGCCACGGCCCGGTACCGGCATCACAAAATGATCCGTGGCCCGGTACCGGCATCAGCACGCATGACAAGACAAGGCGAGCCGAGCGACCGGCCAGCCAGCCGTCCCCTGCTTCTCTCCGCCACCTTCAACTCCTCCTTTGTACCTTTGTCAATGGGCTCGGGACGGCTTCGGGACGGTCGCTCGGCTCGCCTTGCCTTGGGTGCTGAAAGAATCCTCGCGCCTTAGTTTCGTTCAAAGCCGCCCCCCCCCGCCTCGATGAAACTAAGGCACGAGGATTCCTTCAGGACCCAAACACCACTTTCCAACTGGAAAAGCTCACCCGGAAGCACTTTCTCATTGAAACAAGATGCCCAGCAAACCGGCGGCCCGGTAGAAAATGTTCCATAGCCCGGTACCGGTCTGGGGCCCGGTGGTTGGGGACCCCTGATTTAGCCGATTATTAAAGGTTCCCCTCGCACATATGTGCTAGTCGTTTCTGGCTCTAGGGGGCAGTGCTCATCTTCGTTACAAAGCTGAAGAGCCAGCGCTGTCCGAAGATGTCTTCGTGGTCATGTGGTCATGACTAAACACCGAAGGCGCACTGAACGCAGTTACCTTCCTACCAAAGTGGTCCCTATTTTTCTACTGTATTTTTACATGCTTTCGAACTGCTAGGTTGGCAGAAGCTGGGACAAGTAACGGGAGCTCACTCCGTTACGCAGTGCTAGGGATTCGAACCACCGAACTGCCGACTTTTCTGATCGACAAGCTCAGCGTCTTAGCCACTGAGCCACCGCATCCCTTAAAAGCTGATTATTAAGAATGTTTTAATTTTTGCAGAACCTCCTGTGGTCACAGTCACCCGGAAGGAGAGCTACGACGGACTGGAAATCCTGATCTGCCGTCTTTACGGTTTCTACCCCAAAGAGGTGGACGTCACTTGGAGGAAAAGTGGGGAAGTCTTGGAGCAGGAGACCTTCCGGGGTGGGATCACTCCCAATTCAGACAGGACCTACCACACCTGGCTCAGCATTGAGATCGACCCCAAGGAGAGAGAGCACTACAAATGTCACGTAGAGCATGATGGTCTTATGAACCCCCAGGATTTCTCCTGGGAGAAGCCAGGTAAGTGATTGCAATAGAAGGACGGGGCGCGTGGACGCCAGGGAGTGCCTGTTAAGATTTATTTACGGGGTGCTGTTCTTGGCACTTCCCGTACAGCTAATGTGTAGGTTCAGTCTAGAAACTAGAACTGTGATGGCAAACCTATGGCACGCGTGCCCCAGCTAAACTTACCTGCACTGCGCATGCACGTGCCTCCCAGCTGATTTTTGAGGGAAGTGCCCGTTTTCAGCCTCCAGAGGGCCTCTGGAGCCTGGGGGAGGCCATTTTTGCCCTTCCGGAGGCTCAAGAGAAGCCTCTGCAGCCTCAGGAGGCCGAAAAAACGGGCCTTCCGGAAATACCGGAAGTGCCGAAACAGGCCTGTTCTCAGCCTGCAGAGGCTTCCCTCGAGCCTCCGGGAGGGCGAAAACAGCCTCAAAAGGGCCGAAAATCAGCTGGGAGGCACATGCATGAGTAATGCAGGTAAGGGGGCGGGGCGGGGTTGTTGCGCATGCATGCGCGGGGGGGCGGGCACATTGTATTGTGGGTGCTGGGTGCGCGCGTGCTTTCCGCACACCACAACAAAAAAGTTCGCCATCACTGAACTATAACAACTAAGATGATCAAAAGTATGCATATGTCCACATATATTATATGACACAGAGAAAAAACACAGTCTATTTCGGATGTATGCATGTACATGGCGGGAAAAATGAATCTTGCAAGTCTATCAGACTGAAGGCATAGGGAACAAAGCTGTTACAGAACTGGGTAGTCCTGCTAGAAATACTTTGAAACCTCCTTCCAGAGGGGAGCAACAGAAAGAGACCATAAAGGTTGGAAAAGATGATAAAATAACATACAGACTTAAAGCCTGAGATATTGAATTACGCCGTCTTCGGTCTGACTTAAGCATGGTATATAAAATCATACATTGCAATGTCCTACCTGTCAGTGAATACTTCAGCTTCAGCCATAACAACACAAGAGCACACAATAGATACAAACTCAAAGTAAACCGCACCAAACTTGATTGCAGGAAATACGACTTCAGCAATAGAGTGGTCAATGTCTGGAATACTCTACCCGACTCTGTAGTTTCTTCCCCAAACCCTAAAAACTTTAACCTTAGACTGTCTACTATTGACCTCACCCCTTTCCTAAGAGGTCTGTAGGGGGCGTGCATAAGCGCACCAACGTGCCTACCGTCCCTGTCCTATTGTTTCTCCTATTCTTTTATTTTTCTTATATGTACCCATTTCATGTATTCACAACTATGTATACATTTATACTTATTATCTTGTAAACAATTGGCAAATCAAATAAATAAATAAATAAAATAAAATAAAATAAATATTTTTACTGGGGATCCTACCTGAGAATTATAGTAAAGAAAAAATATATACATATATTAACAGCAGCTAGGATTGTATTTGCTCAAAATTGGAAAAATGAAGATTCCAGTGGTGATTAAGAAAATATGGGAATGTGCAGAAATGAGTAGATTAACATTGGCAGTTAGAGAACAAGAAAAAATGGGAGTATTATATGATTTGGGATTTATAAATGGTTGGAAAATAAAGTAAGAAATTAAATGATATTGTTATAGTGATATATAAGTGTTGTGACTGGGAGGTTTGAGCCTGCTGTGCGCTTTGAGTCTGATGTGTCAGAAGACACAGGTTCGAGTGATGAGGAAGGTTTGGCATTGGAATTTGAACCTGCTTTAGTGGGAGATGCAGATGTGAGCCAGGAGGATGAGGAAGTGTCGGAATCACCTTCCTCTCCAGAACCTTATGCCTCAGGTGTCAGCAGCTGATCCACAGAACGTGCCAGAGTCTTTGAGTGATGATCAAAATGACGAATGTTGGGTTGATGCAAGGACTAAACGTAGGCTGAGACGTCAAGCACAATTTGAAAGGAAACGTCAAGTCAGAGACTAATTAGAGAGACTGACACGCCCCTTCAAGGAATATAAGGAGGCGTGTTAGCTAATGATCCTTGTTCAGGTCAAACTACGTTAATTAGTTAATTACGTTCGTAGTCTGGGAGAAGTCTTCTGTTTGCCTTTCGGCTCTGAATTATCGTGTGGCTCCTTATCTGGGTTTGAAGACAGCTTCTGGGAAAGCTGCCAACGACGACTACAGAGAAAAGTTAACTCTGTTGTTCCTGATTTTGTTTGTTCCTGTTTATTCCTTTGGGACATTTGGACTCTCACCTTGTGGCTACAGGTGAGACAGAACATATAATGATATATAATGCTGAATAGGCTATAATATGAATTTAGTGAGAAATGTATATAAATATTAATATGTGCACAAGATGTATGTACCCAGTCGACACATTGTATAACTGAAAGATGGTTTTATTTTTGTTTGTTTTTTCTAAAATATTTTATAAAATATTTTTGGTTTTTATTTTGTTTTATAAAAAAAACTTTTTATAAAAGAAAAAAGAAACAGACCATAAAGTGGAGGTATGGGGGTCTCTAACAATGCTTCAAGCTGTAAGCATATAGCACTTATAAGCAGTATGCTGAATAACGAGAAGAGAACTTCCTATAATCTTCTCGACTGTCCTTACCACTCTCTGTAGGGACTTTCTATCTGAGGCCAACTTTTTGTTCTTTTCTTAGTTTCATCTGCAACAGGGATCCTCGTGGGCAGTGTCCTAGGTGCTCTGGCTTCTGCTGTCTTGCTGGTAATTGGGATCCTGTTCTACACCAGTAAGTAAACTGAGATTTCTTCCTGTTGGTAGAAGCGTTTCGGTGGCAGTTTCCGCCTTTTTCCTACTCTCTGAGAAAAACACCTCTTGTAATTGGCAATGCCCAAAACTCATAACATTCAACCCAACACTTTCTAAACATGGATCGATGAGCAGAGCAATACCCATGTTAGGGTTCCGGCTGTTACCCCAATTAAATCATGAGTCTCAAGCCAAACTTCCAAAACTTCAAAAGGATTTATTGGGAGTTAAACATGTCCGGCACTGCCTGGGTGTAGCTGACTCTGAGACACATGATTCATTGTACCATAATTCATATTCTCCAATGGGACACATCCATAGCCAAGAGTAATCAATCACGTTATCCGGTTAGATATTTGCGCGGCAGAAACTTCAGTCACCTATCTTTGAAGAACTATTTATGGAATGCACTTTTGATTTCCAAGCTGCCGCACTGCTCTTTCAAACCCCTTTCCCCCCCCCTCCTCCCTTTCTGTTGGCAACTCTAAAAAGACCACAGAAATATTTTATGAGTTGACACCCTACCAATCACAAGAATGGAATCTGTCCGTGGATTAGTCCTGGAAGTCTCTAAATAGAAAGGGCCAAGCAAGCGGTAACCCCGTTCTATCTGTTTCAGAGTTTCCAATGGTCTCCAATCTTTCTGGCTTTGTGGACTGGCCCGGGGGGGGATGGGGGGGGGGCAGGAGGGCAGGGAGAGGAAATTGTTCCATGCAAGCATCGGGTGCATACATTCACCTGCTGTTTGCATGGCGTGATTCTGAACAGACCGCGGCCCAGTACCTGCCCATGGCCTGGGGATTGGGGACACCTGTCCTACATTGCTCAGTGGTGGCAGCTCTTCTGCTACCAGTTTGTTTTTCAATCTAGAAGAGGTAGGGGTGGAATTCAAAAATCCCAGCCACTGGTTCGCTGCCTGGTTGCTGGGTGGGCCTCCAGAGCCTGGAGGAGGCCGTTTTTGCCCTCCCAAGGGTCCAGAGGCCTCCCCTGGGCCTCTGGGAGGATGAAAACAGCCTCCACCCGGCCTCTGGAGGCCCACCGGAAGCCGGTAATAGTCCCGTTTCCAGACTTCCAGAAGTCCCATTTTCCCCCCTCCCAGAGCCTCGGCGTGGACCCTGCACTTATCTTCATCGAAAATGGACCACGTGGAGACTCCTGGGAGGGGAGGGGAGGGGCCAACCGGTTGGTTGAAATACCGGTTCTGTGAACCAGCTGTAATTTTAACATCCGGTTCATCTGAACTGGTAGAATCCCACCCCTGAGAAAAGGGGTGTCAAACTGGTGGTCCACAGGACCGATGCATCACATGTGGGCCACGCCCACCCCAGCTCCGTGAAGGGGAAAAGGTTGCAAAAATGTCCCGCGATGGCCACGTGACGACATGAGTTTGATAACCGCGATTTAGAAGAACAGGGCAGTTGTCAAAGCTTCTTCTGGATCCAAACGGCATCCAGGTGCCTCCAGAACTATCTCTCCTATCCAGACACGGTCCACCCAGTGCAAAATTGAAGAGCTGCTCCAGTTGTGGACTTGCTGACAGCCCCTATCCTGCAAGCTGTAATCCTTAGTGATTGTCTTGTATCCTATGGGCCTCCTGACCTCTCCATGTGAAGGCATGGTCTCAACCTCTGGGCCTTCTAAGCTTCTGATTCTGCTAAGAGTTGGGTTGATGGTTCTTGGTCTGCTGAGTGCTTAACTAAGCAATTAGTTACTGGTTTACTGTCTGTGGATTTGTACTGATTGTCAGATACAATGACTTATAATACTGTGGCAAGAAATATCCATCTAGTCCAGTTCCAAGCCGGGAGAAAGGCACTGGAGACAAAATGGGGGCTGGAGGCTGATTGGAAAGAGGGTCCATTTATTGATGAAGCAGAACCACATGGGTTCTGGTGCAGCTGACCATATGGAATTGAGAGGGAGAGGTTTTTATACCTTCTCTTGGGCTTTGCACTTGAGCTTCCTGTTCCCTGTGCAAGAACATTTGTTCTATTGGCTGTTGTCCGACTCCCATGGAGCCAAGTAGGGGTTATGTATGGGTCACAGCTGGCTCTATAGGTTGTCTGAGCTCCCAGGTTTGGTTGAAGTTTGCTGGGGGTGTTGCAACTGAGGGTGATGCAATGAAGGGGCTTGTGTTCTGAAAGGGTTGTTGGAAGACATCTCCATCTGGGTTCAGTTCCAAATGGGAAGAAAAACACTGGAAACATGGAGGCTGATTGGAAAGATGGTTAATGGTGAAGCAGAACCACCAAGCAGGTGTGAGTCTGGGTAGTTGATAACAGGGAGTGGAGAGAGATATATAGACATACCCTCTGTTGGGCTTTGAACTTGCTTCCTGTTCCTGTGGCAAGAAATGTATCCTGATTGGTTGTCAGACCCCTGAGGGAGGGGTAGCTTTGTAGGGTATCTGTGTCCTAAGGTTGGTTGAAACTTGCTGGGTGATGCAATGAAGGGCAATTAAATGGCTCTGCCTGAAGGAGGTAGATCTTCGTTATGTAGAATAGACTGACTCAGGCCTTAATGGCCCATTAGCAAAGGTGGGGGGGGAGGTTGAGTTTCTGCCTCTCTTGAGTTTCTAGTTCACTTTTAGGGAAAATATTCTGCCTTTTTAATATATCCTAAAATATTTCATTTTTCTAGGAGAGGGTTGGGTTTTTAAGCTGTAATAGGGTGTTGGGAAATTCCTATTGTGGCTTAATGGCTTTTTCCTGTTTTGGACCTTGGATGATGGCTATTTGCTTATGAATAAGAGCTATATAATTCTCAATAAGCTATTTCTCTCTTAAATGCTGACATCTTGCTGAGGGCTATTAAGGAAAGTGGGTGTTGATTTCTGCCTCTAAAAAAACATGTTTCTCCATTTCTCCCTTTGGGGAAATACAATATTCTGCCTTTTTAACATTATCCGAAATATTTCATCCTTCTGGGAGGGAGGTGCTAAGTTTCGACACTGGTTTACTGTCTGTGGATTTTTACTGATTATCAGATACAATGGCTTATTATAATACGGTACATCAGGTATGGGATACCTAAAAATCTGCAGCCATTTCATCATTATTAACCTAAAGTTAAATTAAACTTTGGAGGATGTGGGGGGTGCCGTCAAATCAGCATGGACTCCTGGTAATTTCCTGGATAATCCCTGTGCGGTTTTTTTTAGCAGGGTTTTTCTTAAGTGTTTTGCAGTGGTGAGCTCCTGTTAATGTTAATTTTCTGAGCAGTTCGGAGAACCCTTATTGGAAGAAACCTTTTCCCATTTTTTTTAGGGCTAATTTGCAAGGAACAAGCAGGAATGAAAGATCCTAGTGCAGGGGTCCCCAAACTTGGCAACTTTTAAGACTTGTGGACTTCGACTCCCAGAATTCCTGAGCTAACATGTCTTGGAGGAATTCTGGGAGTTGAAGTCCACAAGTCTTCAAAGTTCCCAAGTTTGGAGACCTCTGTCCTAGTGTGCCTGTATTTCTAGCTTATTCCTTATCTTAATTGTTGCCAGGGGTGGGGTTCAAATTTTTTAACAACCGGTTCTGTGGGCGTGGCTTAGTTGGTGGGTGTGGCTTGGTGGTCGTGTGACTGGGTGGGCATGGCCAACTCGACATCACTCACGTCAAGGGGTGCTTCTCTTCAACTGGCCTCTCATGACAGTGGGGATGCTGCAACGGGTCGTAAGTGTGAAAAAACGGTCATAAGTCACTTTTTTCAGTGCCATTGTAACTTTGAATGAACTAAATGAACTGTTGTAAGTCAAGGATTACCTGTGCAAAAATACAAGAAGCTTCTTTGCTTGCAAAAAGCTGCCCTAAATACCAATCATTAGATTAAAAATGTCTGCAAGCCAGAGTTACAAGTCAGGCATGTTGCCAGAGCTCCTTAAGGAATTAAAATAGTTAAAATGCAATGGTAACTATCTCTTGCTCATAAAGTCAAACCCTTTAGCAGAGAGGTCATTTAAGCCAGGGGTCCCCAACCACCGGGCCCCGGACCGGTACCAGGCCATGGATCATTTTGTACCGGGCCGCAAAGAATGAAAGTAGGGCCTACTTTGCTTGGGCGCCGCCATCTTGTTTTGACGGAGCTTGAGAACGTGCTTCCGGGTGAGCTTGTCGGTCGTTGATTGGAAAGCGGCGTTTGGGTGCTGAAGGAATCCTCGCGCCTTAGTTTCGTCAAAGGGGGGGGGGCGGCTTCGAACGAAGAGCCGTCCCGATGGCGGTGGAGTCTCGCATTACTCAGGAGGAGATTAAGAAAGAGCCCGAAAAGCCCATCGACCGCGAGAAGGTACAAAGGAGGAGTTGAAGGTGGTGGGGAGAAGCGGGGGACGGCTGGCTGGCCGGTCGCTCGGCTCGCCTTGCCTTGGTCATGCGTGCTGATGCCGGTACCGGTCCGTGGATTGGTCCGTGGATTGTACCGGTCCGTGGTACAAAAAAGGTTGGGGACCACTGATTTAAGCTCTCCAGAAAGAGCACACCCAGGAGAAGCAATCCTTAGATCCATTTGCACCCCTTTAAAATACCATCTGGCCTCACTCACCTCACAAGAGGAAATCATCCAGCCTAAAGTCTAGGCCGTCTGCCAAGAATGTAATAAGGGTGGGGGGGGGAAAACAAAAGGAGATTTCTTCTAACTACTGGTTCTCCGAACTTCCTAGAAAGTTAATAAGGGGTTCTATACGGTAGAATCCCACCCCTGATTGTTGCCCCTGCTGCTGTAAGAAGTTAGCACCCACCCCTCACCTAGAAAATTTCACTTTAGAGCTCTCAGCCATGTGGTCCTGTCCACTGTCAAACCATCTCTCCAAACGTCCTCCATGTTTTCCAGTGTCTTTTCCCCCCACTTGGAACTGATCCCAGAAGGATATTTCTTCCAACACTGCTTTTAAGTGTTTTCAGAAACTGCCTCTGGGTTAAAAGCTGCCTCTGGGAACAGCCTTAATGGTTCAGGCAGCCAGCCTTCCTGTCTGTAGCTGTGCTTCCACTTAATCTTCCCCCACCCCCTGAGTTTTTTGTGGTACTAGTATTCCTGGGGCCTTGAACAGCTATTTACAGAAGGGTTGGCATAGCCATAGAAGAAAGGCTGAGGGGCAGGATGTAAACCTGCCTTTCGGAGGGCATGTGATTCCCCCCCCCTTAATATCTGGATGATTACCTTAGGACAAGGGGGTAGGAAGTTAGCACCCACTCCTCTCCTAGAAAAAATAAAATATCCTGGGAAATATTAAAAAGGCAGAATATTTCCCCTAAAAAGAGTAGAAACTCAAGAGCAGAAACACCTTAGAAGCAGAAGCTCACACACACACACACACCCTTTGTTAATGGGTGGGCCATTAAGGCCTGGGCCAGAATACTTTACATAACAAAGACCTCCAGGTAAAAAGGTATAGCAAGGTATATGCTTCAGAGGGGCCAAGGCACATGATTGTTCACTGATAATAAGTGGATCCCCCTTCCAATTTGTTATAGTTTGCTCTCATTATAATATTGCATAGTAACATGACACCAATTATAGAAAGTTAGCACCCACTCCTCTTCCTGGAGGAATGAAATATTTTGGGAAAGATTGAAAAGGAAGAATATGTTTCCCTGGATGAGAAATGGAGAAACATGTTTTCTTAGAGGGAGAAAGTAGCCCCCACCTTCCTTAATAGCCCATAGCCTATGTCAACACTTAAGAGATAAAGAGGTAGATAGCTGTATTCATAGGCAAAAATTCCCTGCGGCAAGATCTTAATAAAGACAATGGGGATTAGCCCTCACTCAAGATGTTAATTTATCTCTTTAAGCTCTGCATTTTGTAGCCCAAATATGCCCACCCACTTTTTGGAGACCTTAAATGATCTCTCTGCTAAAGGGTATCCCTTTATGAGCAAAGAGTGGGCTGTAGTTTAACTATTTTAATTCCTCAAAGCAAAGAAGCTTTTTGCATTTCTTTTGTACAGGTAATCCTTGATTTACAACAATTCATTTAGTGACCGTTCAAAGTTACAATGGCCCCGAGAAAAGTGACTTATGACTGTTTTTCACATTGTACGAAGTTATCACCCACCCCTCTCCTAGAAAAATGAAATATCCTAGGAAATATTAAAAAGGCAGAATATTTCCCTTAAAAAGAACTAGAAATTCAGAAGCAGAAATTCACCTCAGAAGTAGAAGCTCACCCTCACCTTTGTTAATGGGTGGGGCATTAAGGCCCGGGCCAGAATATTCTACATAACAAAGATAGGTAAGTAGGTAGATAGATAGATAAGATAGATAGATAAGATAGATAAATAGATGATAGATAGATAGATAGATAAGCTTAGATAAGATAGATAGATAAGATTAGATAAGATAGATTAGATAGATAGATAGATAGATAGATAGATAGATAGATAGATAGATGAGATAAGATAGATAGATAAGATAGATTAGATAAGAAAGATATATAGATGAGATAAGATAAGATAGATAGATAGATAAGATAGATTAGATAAGCTTAGATAAGATAGATAGATAGATAGATAGATAGATAGATAGATAGATAGATAGATAGATAGATAGATAGATAGATGAGATAAGATAGATAGATAGATAAGATAAGATAGATTAGATTAGATTAGATTAGATTAGATTAGATAGATAGATAGATAGATAGATAGATAGACAGACAGATAGACAGATAGACAGATAGACAGATAGATTAGAATTCTTTATTGGCCAAGTGTGATTGGACGCACAAGGAATTTGTCTTGGTGCAAATGTTCTCAGTGTACATAAAAGAAAAGATACATTCCTCAAGAGTCAAGAACATCAGGCACAACACTTAATAACAGTCACAGGGTACAATAAGCAATCAAATCTTACTAGGAAACAGTCCATATAAATTGTGAGGATACAAGCGACAAAGTTACAGTCATACAGTCACAAGTGGGAGGGGATGGGAGATAAGGAGTGATGAGAAGATTAACAGTAATAGTAGTGCAGACTTTGTAAATAGTTGAACAGTGTTGATGTCAGGTGGTGGGAGTTATTTGTTTGGCAGAGTGATGGCTTTCGGGGGCGGAAAAACTGTCCTTGTGTCTAGTTGTTCTGGTGTGCAGTGCTCTATAGTGTCGTTTTGAGGGTAGGAGTTGAAACAGTTTATGTCCAGGATGTGAGGGGTCTGTAGATATTTTCACGGCCCTCTTTTGGATACAGGATACAGGATACAGGTCCTCCATGGAAGGCAGGTTGATGGCAATTTTTTTTTTCTGCAGTACTCTACCCATGTAACCACCAGGCCTGGAAAGATTGCATCAGCCAGCACTCAGGTGAAGCTGTGTGGTCCAGACAAATCCTACAAAGTTAGCTAAGACCCCCCCGCCCCTGCGAGTCTGACAGCCAATGGGATGCAATTATTACACAGGAACAGGAAACACTAAGGTGGGGCCAACAGAGGGTATAAAACAGGGGTCCCCAACCGCCGGTCCGCGGACCGGTACCGGGCCGCGGAACAACCCTTACCGGGCCGCTAGTTGCTGGGCGCCGCCATCTTTTTTTTGGTAAAAAAGCGCTTCTGGTGAGCTTTTCCGGGTAGAAAGCTCACCGGAAGCGCCTTTTCGTCATAAAAAGATGGCGGCGCCCAGTTGACGCCGGTACTGGGCCGCGGCGCCCAGCTGATGTCGGAACCGGGCCGCGGCGTCGAAAAGGTTGGGGATCCCTGGTATAAAACGATCGCACTCTCAGCATCTTGCCCCTTTTCCCTTCTTTTCCTTTCCCAACGTCTTGAAGCACGTGACTGTCCTTTTCACCCAGGATCTCCAAGCCAGGCGGTCCTGTCCACTAATAAACCATCTTTCCAAAACAGCCTCCGTGTTTCCAGTGTCTTCCTCCCCACTTGGAACTGAACCCAGAGGACATTTCTCCCAACAACACTTATGACCGTTGTAGCATCGCCATGGTCAAGAGAGGCCAGGCGATGCTAAGCGCCCCTCGACGTGAGTGACATCAAGTTGGCCACACCCACTCCATCACATGATCACCCAGCCACGCCCACCCAGCCACGCCCACCCAGCCACGCCAGTCATTAGGGCAGAGAGCCAGTTGTTTAAAAATGTGAAGCTCACCACTGGTGCTTTTTCGTTGCCTGTTTCCTTTGGTTGAAAGAGAATGGCTGGCCCATGTCACTCAGCCACCTAACTTGTGGTCACCTGGTTTATAACTGTTGGAAGAAATATCCTTCTGGGTTCAGTTCCAAGTGGGGAGGAAGACACTGGATTCGTGGAAGTTCCTTGGAAAGAAAGTTTATTGATGAACAAGATCACATGCCTTGGAGCTCTTGGGGAAAAGGGAAAAAAATGCTGACAGTCCCTTGGTTTCATGCCCTCTGTTGGGATTTGAATTTGAGCTTGAATTCTGATTGGTTGTCAGTGTCAGGTGGTGCTCCATTCAAAATTCAAGAAAGAAAACTTAAGACTCTTTAGATTAGAGCAAAGATAACTTTTACTGAATCTGAAGGGGTAACATCAGCAGAATTCTGAATCTGAGAAATTAGGCGCGCAGATCACATATACAAAGTGTTGGAAACGTTCCCACCCCTCCTAGTTCAAATGATTCTTCCAATTAAAAGTCGTGAATATGATCATGTGGGCATCTTCAGGTGGTGATGAGGCCTCTGTCCGTTGACCTTGGCATGTTTTGATAAAGATTAGCAGCTGCTCAGAGAAAAGAAAGCTAAGGGAGGAATAGAAACTTAAGAGCAGGAATTTATACTCCCCCCCACTCCTCATTTACACAACACAAGAATGTAACACCTCCAGCTCTCTTCCCAGACAATATCCCCATTCCTTCCCCCCCCCCTTACTTATGGCAGCCAAAAGATGCAAGGCAGTAGAAAAGATGCAAAGCAGTAGATCTTAAAGGCTGACAGTCAGACTCCCATGGGGCCATGAAGGGGCAACTCTGTCCTGAGTCCCAGGCTTGGTTGAGCTTTGCTGGGTGATTATGTAATGAAAGGGCCTGAAGGAGGTAGATCTTTGTTGTGTTGAATAGACTGGCCCAGGCCTTAATGGCCTATTAGCGAAGGTGGGGGTGGGGGCTTAGTTTCTCCCTCTCTGAGTTTCTACTTCTCTTTTAGGGGAAATATTCTGCCTTTTTAGTATAGCCTAAAATATTTCATTCTTCTAGGAGAGGGGCGGGTTTTAACTTCCAACGCAACCTTAACCGTTATCCTAATTTGTCCCTCAAAATTAAACTAGGGTTATTATAATTAGGCTGTACCTGTTTGCTGCCATCCTGGGTGTCATCTGGTGCAGGGGTCCCCAACCACCGGGCCGCGGACCGGTACCGGTCCGTGGAACATTTCCTACCGGGCTACCGGGTTTGCTGGGCGCCGCCATCTTGTTTGACGAGAAAGTGCTTCCGGGTGAGCTTTTCCGGTTGGAAAGCGGTGTTTGGGTCCTGAAGGAATTCTCGTGCCTTAGTTTCATCGAAGGGGGCGGCTTCGAATGAAACTAAGGCGCGAGGATTCTTTCAGCACCCAAGGCAAGGCAAGCCGAGCGACTGTCCCGAAGCGAAGCCCATCGACAAAGGTACAAAGGAGGAGTTGAAGGTGGCGGGGAGAAGTGGGGGACGGCTGGCTGGCCGGTCGCTCGGCTCTCCTTGCCTTGTCATGCATGCTGATGCCGGTACCGGGCCGCAGATCATTTTGTGATGCTGATACCGGGCCGCGGCACAAAAAAGGTTGGGGGCCACTGATCTGGTGTGTTTGCAGGCTAGACTAGGTGCTGCTAAATTAAAAGACTATAATCTCTGAAACTGTACTGTAAGGTTCAGGAAAAATATTAACTTACACAAATGTTTTTAAAGGGTTAAAAAGATTTGGGTCTAACGTTTTGTTTTGTTTTATTTTGTTTAGAAAAATGGCGGAAGGCCTACCAAGCTGCATCAAGTAAGTGAACACGGCCTCTTTGAATTGGAATGCGTATTCATAGAAGGGGTCAAGCTATTTTCTAAAGCACCTGAATATTCAACCTAGAAATAAGGAGAAATTTTCTGACAGAACAATGAACCAAGGCAAAATAATGTTGCCTTCAGAAGTTGTGGGAGGTTCCTCTCTGGAAAATGAAAGAAAATCACTCTTTCAAAAAGAGACTGGACTGCCGTTTGTCAGAAATGGTGTAGGGTCTCCTGCTTGGGTAGTGGGGTTGGACTAGATGACCTACAAGGTCCCTTCCAATTCTGTTAATCTGTTAATCAACAATTATCTTCAGAGCTGCTTTAGTGGAACCTGCACTGAAGGGTGGGGGGGTGTATAGGAACTTTAAAGGGATTTCCACCTGTATTATAGATAACTTTTCATTCCTCCTCTTGGTAGTTTGCCTATTTTTAGCTCATCTTTTTCTGGATCATTTATACTTTCAGATATAGTGGAATGACGCATGAATCTGGATCAGAGGTTTCCCTGCTGAAGGCCACAACGGCAACCTGGAAAACGTTGGACTGGCTGGGTAGATGGGGACCTGCGCATCTTCATTTCCTTCCTTCCACTTCTTTGATTCTGGTGATCCACTGGGAGTGTTCACTGATGCCAGATTAAATTTTCTTCCCTTGCATTTTGGCTTTGACGGTGTGAGAACCAGCACGAAGGACATAAACAGTGTGATAAAGATTAACAATTAAATCACATTTAAATAACACAATTAAATCACAATTAAATAACAATTAAAACTCGGACCACACATTTTCTGAATAGTTTTTAATCCCAGAGCTATAATTGCACTTAACAATGAACTTAAGAACCACCATCAGTGAGCTGTTGAACAGTATTACTTGGTCTGTTGTGTGGATGCTTGTGTGTTTTAGGGGGTGGGGAACCTTCATGAGTGGGGTGTGTTTGGGGATTGTCATGTGTGTGTGTGTGTGTTAGGTCTGGTCTCTGGGTGTTATGTGAATTTTGTTGAATGTGCATACTGTATATATTTGTACGATGACAATAAAGTATTCTATTCTACTCTTTGCTTCTATGAGTTTTTCACCTCTCGGCAGGGGGCGTAGATTTGATTTGACCCTGAACCTGGTTAAGCTCCTAACACATATCTGAAGTGCAGTGGTCCAAGAGCTCAAATCGCAGTAGAGGGCTTGAATCCCATAGATAAGATGTGACTGCCTATGTCTGGATCGTCCCAATATAGCAGAAAATGGACCATGCGCTGCTTGCCGATGGCCAACGTAAGGTTAAAAAGTGGAAGATATTGCGGTAAAAATAGAAACATTGTTATCTAAGTCATGTCAAACTTCATACTGAGGTACATACAGCATAAAATAACACCCTTGTCAGCTTTGGAAGCCATATTAGCACCAGACGCTTCCACATTGCCACATTCTTGAGCCTGGGAAATGGGAGGGGGGAATTTCTTGGAGTGTATGTGGTTAGACATAATAGCATTCTTCTTCTAAGTCAAGGTCATGTTATTTCTGCACCTGGTTGAGAGGACATCTCAAAGACGGGATGGATGGTGATTGGGGCATGTGATGCATTGGCGGGTGCAGGGGGTGGATTTGTAGTTTTTACTTATTGCAAGTAAATCTGGAACTTTCAGATTTCAGGATTCCCCAGATGTGCCAGTTTACTACCCAAATAAAACAACGTTTGAGAAGATGTCTGTCTTGGAGTTATTTGTTGGAGTGGAGGTTTTCTGGAATGCTGACAGCTCTTGGCTTTTAAGGGAAGGTGGAATATATATACCACAGGTGTTAAACTCGCCGCGTCATCTTGCCACGACGTGATTATTTCATGACTTTTCCCCATTCGCGGGGCTGGGGTGGGCGTGGCCTCTGCGTGACGCATCTGGCCCACAGGCCGCCAGTTTGGCGCCAATAATATATACTGCTTTATGACGTGTGGACTCAAATTTCCAGAATTCCCCCGGCAGTGGAGAGTTGGGTTCACCCATCTTAACATGGCTAAAACTGAGAAACGTGGGTATATCTCGTTCTGATTACATACAGGTAGTTGTTGTGGTTCAGTGGCAGCTTGTGCAGATAGTAGTAGAATCGGACAGTGGGGAAGAACAGGGACCAGTCCGGGAGTCTGGGGAGGACTCGGACGAGGGACCTGCATCCGATGCAGAGATGGGGCCAGGGCCATCTGGGAGTTGTGTGCTGACTCTGGAGCCTCCAGAGTCTGGCAGCAGCGAGGCAGAGGAACAAGGGGAGCCTGTTCCCAGTATGCGTGTGCACAGAGCTGCTAGAAGGCAAGAGCAGCTAAGACAAAAGAGGCGACTCCGGAGTAAGGCTTGGAGGTGATTGCCCCTCCCCTAAGGTATAAAGGAAATGCAAAGGTAGAGAAACCTTTGCAGGAAGCAAAGTTGTTTGCTCTGTTCAGATTAAACCTTGAAGCTCTGTGTGGACTTTGTACTTCAGTTGGTTTTTTGTAGTTAATTTGGCACTTTAGTTGTTGGCAGCAAATCAAAGGAGATAAAGGTGGGTGCTTATCTCAAGGGACTGTTTGGGACACATTACGGGCTGGGAATGAACATAATTCCCGGCGTTGAAATAAAACAAGAGTTGTTTTAATTAAGCGTGTGCTTAATTATGGTCTCAGGAAGCCTTTATTTTTTATTTCTTTATTTTTGTCAATTGCTTACAAGATAATAGGTATAAGTAAAAACACAGTTATGAATACATGGATACATATAAGAAAAATAAAAGAAACAATAGGACAGAGACAATAGGTACCTTGGTGCGCTTATGTACGCCCCCAAAGACCTCTTAGGAAAGGGGTGAGGTCAATAGTAGACAGTCTAAGGTTAAAGTTTTTGGGGTTTGGGGAAGAAACCACAGAGTCAGGTAGAGTATTCCAGACATTGACCACTCTGTTGATGAAGTCATATTTCCTGCAATCAAGTTTGGTGCGATTAACCTTGAGTTTGTATCTACTGTATGCTCTTGTGTTGTTATGGTTGAAGATGAAGTATTCATTGACAGGTAGGACATTGCAATGTATGATTTTATATACTATACTTAGATCAGACTGAAGGCAGCATAGTTCTAGGTTGTCTAGGTCTAGAATTTCAAGTCTGGTGGCATAAGGTATTCTTCAACGAGTAGAGGAGTGGAGAACTCTTCTTGGGAAATATTTCTGGACTTTCTCAACTGTGTTAATATGAGATACGTAATGTGGGTTCCAGACTGATGAGCTGTATTCGAGTATTGGTCTAGCAAATGTTTTGTATGCTCTAGTTATTAGTGTAATATTACCAGAGAAAAAGCTATGTAGGATTAGGTTAACAACTCTTAATGCCTTTTTGGTTATGTAGTTACAGTGGGCTCTAGCACTTAGATCATTAGAGATGAGTATTCCAAGATCCTTGACAGAGTTTGGATCATCAACAAGGTCTTGGTCAGAACAGTAGTCTTCAATTTACAACAGTTTATTTGGTGACTGTTCGAAATTACAGCGTCACTCAAAAAAGTGACGTATGACTCTTTTTCACACTTGTGACCGGTGTGACATCCCCAGGGTCACATGCTCACAACTCAGATGCATGACAACTGGCTCACACTGACGACGGTTGCAGTGTCCCAGAGTTACGCCATTCCCGTTTTGCAACTTTCTGACAAGCCTAGTCAATGGGCAAGTCAGATTCAACCATTGCGTTGATTTAACAACGGCAAGTGATTCACTTAAACAGTAGAAAGACAGGTGGTAAGATGGGGCAAAATTCACTTAGCAACTTTCTCACTTAACAACAGAAATGTTGGACTCCCTAGAATTCTGCATCCAGTTTTGGTCACCATACTACATATGATGAAAGGTTACAGGAACTGGGCCTGGCTGGTCTAGTGAAGAGAAGGACCAGGGGAGACATGATAGCGGTCTTCCAATATTTGAGGAGCTGCCACAGAGAGGAGGAAGGGGTCAAGCTATTTTCCAAAGCACCCGAAGGCCAGACAAGGAATAATGGATGGAAACTGAACAAGGAGAGATTTAACCTGGAAATAAGGAGAAACTTTCTGACAGTGAGAACAATCAACCAATGGAGCAAAAGTTGCCCTCGGAAGTTGTGGGAGCGCCATCACTTAAGACTTTCAAGAAGAGATTGGACTGCCATTTGTCAGAAATGGTGTAGGGTCTCCCGCTTGGGGTGGGTGGGGGTTGGACTAGATGACCTACAAGGTCCCTTCCAACCCGGATTATCTGTTATTATTTGTTATCTGTTGATATTATTATTATTGTGGTTGGGAAATTGTGTATGAGGGTTGAGAGTGCGGCATGGGTTATTTCCTTCCACCTGTGGTCCTTGAACAAATAATGTAAAATAAGTGTGTGTATGTGTGCGTGTGAGAGAGAGAGGGGGGAAGGGAGGGAGGAGGTAGAGAATTGGCCTATTCTTATACCTCAGTGTCATAAAAAATATTCCAGCAGGAAACAAAGACAACAATACAAGCAATAATTCTAACTCTAAGACCAGAGGTTTATTGTTTCTAATAATTTGGAACATAAGAAGTGAATAGATATAAACGATATAATAGCAGTAATACATTTACATTAATAAGCCATTGCAATGGGGTCCAATGACATAACAACAGGTCCTGCAAGGACTGCCATAAATCAAAGGGCCCCCGAGCTGATCTTCAACTCTATCCTTTATACCAGTGATCCCCAACCTTTTTTACGCCGCGGCCCGGTATCCCCAACCTTTTTTATGGCGCGGCCTGGTACCGGCATTAGCTGGGCGCCGCCATCTTTTTTTGATGAAAAAGTGCTTCCGGGGACCTCACCGGAAGCACTTTTTCATCAAAAAAAGATGGCGGCACCAGCGCTTCCGGTGAGCTTTTCCGGGTAGAAATGGCTTTCTACCTGGAAAAGCTCACCGGAAGCGCTGGCGCCGCCATCTTTTTTTGATGAAAACGTGCTTCCGGTGAGCTTTCTACCCGGAAAAGCTCACCGGAAGCACTTTTTCATCAAAAAAAGATGGCGGCGCCCAGCAAGCCAGCGGCCCGGTAGGACTTGTTCCACGGGCCGGTACCGGTCCGCGGACCGGTGGTTGGGGACCCCTGCTTTATACTTTTTTTCTAACCACGTACAAGCATCACAACTTCACTAGCTGTCACTCCGTAAACACCTGTGTACATTACTTTCAGTTCCTCATTTCCAACGGTTTCATTCTTCCTGTTTTAAACGTATCCATCCAAGTGCATACTTTGCAAAAATACGTTTTCACAGTTAGCAACAGCTCAAGCAGGATTACACATAGTTCTGGTATATTTTGAAACCTTTGGTTCATCTCTCTTTCTTCTATCTGGGGTGTTGAAAGAATTATCCTTCTGGGTTCAGTTCCAAGTGGGGGAAAAAGACACTTGGAATACATGGAGGGTGTTTGGAAAGATGGTTTAATGATGGACAGGACCACATGGCTTGGAGCTCCAAAGTGAAAAGGACAACCGCATGCTTCAAGATGTTGGGTGAAGGAAAAGAGAGAAGGGCTGATATGCTGGGTGTGCCTGGGTTTTATGCTCTCTGTTGGGATTTGAATTTGAGCTTGTATTCTGATTGGTTGTCAGACTCCCAAGGGGCCATGCAGGGGCAACTCTGTAGGCTGTCCTGAGTCCCAGGCTTGGTTGAGCCTTGCTAGATGAT